TTGCTGTAAAAGTTTAAAGATATAGAGAAGGTGGAGAAGCTCACCTCCTTCAGTCTCCCAGAGGTGAAGGAAGGAGATAGGACACTACGGATCCTTTTCCATTGATCATCTTCAGCAATGGATACGGCATCATAGAGGGGCCCATTCAGACGGAAATTCTAACATAATTAAACAGCAGCTCATGAGAACTAAATGAAATGTATATCACTATGACTTCATATGGACTGTAGAGCAGTAACTACATACTCTGCGGTTGGTGAAGAAAGAGTAGCATTCCTTAACCAGAATGGCCTTTATGATTTCAGGATCTGCAACACACAACACGGGCTGGCGGCCATCGTAAATACTGAAAGATTAGAATGAAACAAACAACTTAAGCTGTAACAAATCAATGGTTTATTGTGTCTGTTCTTCAATAACAGTTACAACGTGAAAACTCACCCCCATATTTTCCCGTATTTCCTATAGCACTCTTGATCGAAGTTGAAGAACCCCTAATTACAAAAATAATGTTACATTAGAAATATAAGATAATTTAGAGAACACGTTTTATACAATTTTCAGCAGATTGAATTAATAAATAATGGGTCATCTTAAAGAATGTTGTTCAAAGAAGCTAAATTACATTATTCTGATTCAATATATTTAAAAAATATACATTTCAATTTAAATCAATTTAAATCCGCTACATTCCACTACTCTGGAATAAAGCGGAGTTAATTGGACCTGTTAGCATTTTTCTCTAAATCTTCAGCTTTTCATTGTAATGTCATTGTAACACTAATAAGCTAATGATAATCCAATAAAAATAATTCAAAGGTAACGATTTTATTAGAAACCAAGTGCCATCTGTTAGGACCATAAAATCTACCCTTGTGACCATTTAAACTATCAAAACCCCGAGTTTATGAGGAAATTATTTCCAGTTGCACTTTCATTTAAATTATTCCTGCCGATATTTTTGCCCTAAGCTTTCATTAGCAAATGAAATGTGATGCTAAATAAGGAAGGACTAAGGAAGCTATATACTGTAGCTGGAAGGGCCAAAGGACATTTGTTATAAATGTGGAATCTGAGATATTTATAATTCTTCACAACAATCTTCACATTAACCCCTGGATGGAAACTGGGGTCACCGGCATCCTGGTGCTCCTCCTCAGATCCACCACCAGTTCCTTGGTCTTTATCACATTGAGCTCCAGGTGGTTCAGTCCACACTATGTGACAAAGTTGCCCATAGCAACCCTGTACCTCTAGCTGGGTCATCTGAGAACTTCTGTAAATGATAGCTACAGAAGTACAATAGCTGAAGCCAGTTGCATAGAGGATAAGGGACAGTCCCTTGTGGGGCCCCTATGTTGCTGACAACAGTGTCTGATATACAGTGTCGCAGGTGAACAAACTGTGGTCTGTCAGTCCACAGTTCATAGACTTTGGACTGGCTGTCCACATGTAGACTGCAGACGATGTGGTTCAGCAGATAGTCGACACTCTGATGTGGGTGGTCAGTGCCACCCACAGCGCCTGTAGTTGTTGGAATCACAGGGACGCTGCGTCTTTGACACCAGAACAATGCAGTATGTTTTCCACATCACAGAGACCCTCTGTATGCTCATGTTGAAGATATGAAGGAAAATCATATTACAACTGCAATATCACAAAGCACAGGCTTTAAGGACCCTCGAGTTCACACCATTGAGGCCTGCAGCCTTGCCAGGGTGGAGTCTCACCAGCTGGTTTGTAAGGTGACCAGTTGAGGAGTCAAGGGTGGGGGAGTAGAAGAGGAGGGAAAGTGAGATGAAAGACTTTTGAGTTGATAGGGAAGAGTGAGTTGACAGCAACAGTGGTATTGCTGTCAATACCACTGTATCTGACACTGCAGAAACACTGCAGATTTTAATCGATCTGCAGTGTCAGATCGATTAAAAAAACTGTTTGAGTTCATTGGCTTTTTCAATGTTGAACTCTACAGCACTATTGCCAGCTGACCTGCCAACAAAAAAAAAAAAAATATATATATATATATATATATATATATATATATATATATATATATATATAGGCTAAAAAAAATATATATAGGCTATATATATATATATATATATATATAAAATAACTAAACTCCTTGCATTCACACTGGAACATTAGGATATTAGGAACATTAGTGAAGGAAACTTCACTAATGTTCTTTTTTCTGAATTTCTCTTTTCTCTTGGGTCAACATGTTTTTTAAATATATTTTATTTAGTGTCATTTATTTAAACTGTCATTCAGTTGACAATAATCTTAGAATCTGTTGTGTAAAAAAACTTCGATAAATAGATAAAATGCAAAATAAAATCGAATTCAAGTAATCTGTGTGAGAGTAAAATGTGTTAATACTCTGTGATCATACCACTTTAAAAAAGTGTTGAAAAAATAATTTTATCTTTCTACTCTTTTCAATATGTGCCTGTAGTCAAGATTCATCATTGGATTTGGTGGAAACAGATGATATTCCTGAAAATCTGAACCAGAACCAGACTTCTGTTACACAGATCAACTAACAGGATCTGCTATATTTTAATTTAGGTTTGACACTAAAATAGTTTATACACTGAATTTTGAGTCAAAGTAGAAGTTATGGTGAAATCTGATCACCATAACTTGTAGATTGTTTTTACATCAGCTCTCAAGCAGCTGTTGCAGGTCAGGTGCTGCTCTACAGTACAATCAAGACACTCATCTCTTAGTTGCAAAGAGAAACTAGAAACAGCTTAGCTTTCGTCTTAAAATGTTAACACATTTTATTGAGACGAAAGTTAAGCTTTAAACAAAAAGGATTACAGGGTGTCTAAATGCAGCAAAAACGTTTTGTTAGGATTGTTAGGGATAAATTTGGATCACATCAAGCAGATTGTCTGATTTTTAAAGTGTTTGTTTTTTCTTTATTAGGACAGGACATGTAGGTTGAACAACTTTCAACTTGTTTTCTTTGGCTAAATAAGGGAAATGACTCTCCTTTATTACCCATAAAAAGTAATTGGACAATGATTGTAGAACAGGTTCATACTCTCATTACTGCCAATACAAATACAGCATTTTACCCAAGCGTGAAACAGTAATGAGCAATAAGGACATGTAGTTGAGAATGTTTAGAGGTTCACAAAGTGTAGAAATCTTGTACATTTAAATCAGCATTTATCCTTTTAGATTTTCAAAAAATAAAGAAATAAAGTAAAAATAACAAAGGCTGCATAGACATCTTAAGAAGATCCAAGAAATCTAATATCTTTGATTAAAATGTTAACATGATCTACTTTTTATACTACAGGTGCGGTTTAAAAAGTGTTATACATACCCTTCGATAATGCAGCATTGTTCCAAAGAATGGGACAGGTTTAGGACCAGAGATACCTAATTTCTTGAAAGTTCCATAAGGCCAGTAGGCGTACCTGTGGATAAATAAGCCTGAAAAATTATGTGTGAAGTAAAAACAAAAGCAGTAAATTCTGAGCAGAAGAGAATAGAACAAATGTCAGTTTCAGATTCAAGTAACTAAATAGATCAATACTCATTCATTAACACTCACACAAGGAGGAGCGTGACAAAGGCAACCAGCAGAGTCCATGTCTCAGCGGAGAAGTACAAGAAGTAACCCATCTGTCCTCTCAGTGGAAGTATCTGGCTTTGTGATGCCAAATGTCACCACCTGTACCTTTTATCTCCTGCTGCGTGGATCTGTTACGCAAGGTGAAGTGTGTGAAAGTTAAACCAATGTTAGCGAAGCTGGTAGGTTTGCCCAAATGGTTTTCCACTTTGATCTGCATCCTTTGAGACTGTTTCAAGCTGGCACTGGTGTCTGTAATCAGAACTCTGACTATAATAACCCATCCATCATTCATCCATTTTCTGTGCACCCTTGTCCCTAGTGGGAGGGGTGCTGGTGCCTATCTCCAGCGAATGTTTTGGGCGAGAGGCGGGGTTGACTATTATAATAATAATAATAATAATAATAATGGAGGTTATTATTAGTTCTAGCTTACTGTCTAAGCTAGAACTTCAAATTATTGATTATTTCTTTGTCAAGCTAATACTACTAATCTCTTCTCATGATAAAGTCTTATCTACAATTTCTCT